TACCGCTGCAGCAAGGTACTGCCAGAGTGTGCTGGGGGGAACCCAGACATTTTCCCCTCCAAATGATGGTGCATGCCTTCCAACTTCCTCCTCAGTCCATGTTCCCAGTCCCTGGGTACTCTCAGAGCTCAGTCATGTGCCTGGCCTCGGGTCCTGCCTCAGAGGGACATGATGGGATAGGACCTCGACTAGGCAGCATCATGTACCCCAGGAGCTGGCTCCAACTGCCCTATCCCTTCTCCAGTTGGGAGATCTGCACACATTCCCCTTGCAGCCCCCTTCCCCTCCCACCACCATCCCTGCCCTGTCTCCCCACAGGCTGCTCTGAACATGCTGACCAAGTGCCAGTCCCTGGCTTACAAGGAGCACGGCATCCTCTGCGTCACTCTCCACCCTGGCTGGGTGCAAACTGACATGGGGGGGAGCTCAGAATCATTTAAGGTAAGAGATATTTCTGGCCATGGTCTGGAAGAACCTCTTCATTTAGGAATGCAGAGCTTCCTGGGGACTGAACAGTCCCAGGCATGCTGAGCTCTGTGGGAGCTGCTGGGCAGATACCCTGGAGGCACATGAGAGAAGGAGATGAGGGACTGGGATCTCTTCTTGCTGAGTGCTGGCCTCTCCTCTCTCATGCCGGAGTACCCCAAGCCCTGAGCAATGATCTGCTCCAGGACAGACCCTGTCCTGACCTGGGGCACACAAATGTTTCTCCCTCTTCCCCACAGCCCCCCCTGACAATTGATGCCAGCGTGCAAGGGATGTTGAAGGTGCTTTCCTCCCTCTCTGAGAAGGAGACTGGGACCTTCCTGGACTGGGAAGGGAAGATGTTGCCATGGTGAGATGCTGGTTCAGGATTCTCACTGTGAAGACCTTTGCTGCCTCACGATGTGCCCGTGCCTTAATAAATTAGTGTCTGTAAACAATAAGTAGAACTGTGTGAGCCTTCTCCCTCTTGGTCTTCTACTATCACTGTGAGAGTCCTCACCAATGCTTTGAGAGAACTTCTCAGAGTTATTCTGCGTGTCATTGAGCTGGGTTGGCCTGAATATTTGTCCTCCTCTAACTGTGGACCTGGCTACCATCCTGGTAGGTCTTTGTCTTTGGGCTCGTCCCACAGCTCTCCCTTGGAATGACTCCACATTCCAATGACTCAGCTACTCCTCCCAGTGAGCACTTTTTTC